GTGGTCGAAATATCGACCACCTACCAGGTTGGGAACTTGTACCGACTAATCCGATAAAATTATACATACATTTCGGGTAAATTAAAAGGTCGATTTGAACCAAAATTTTCCCGTCCTCTAAAGGTTAAGAGCATAAGACAAATATAAAAATAAATTAAAATTTAAAGGAAGAAAGCTGTTGTTATTATATAAAAAGTAAAATGCACTATATATAATAAAATAAAATAGCGATATTAACTGGACAAAAAACATTGTTTACCAATTTTTATATAAAACTAACGATTTATTCATATTTTTTTAATATATAAGATACTTTAAATTTTAATAAATAAACTTTGAAAAAATAGAAAGTTCTATAACATAAAGATATCCAAGAGATGAAAATAAACTCATGTTCTTGCGTCAATTCATAATTTTTTTATATTCGATCGGATATCTGATTGTGAGTTTCGAGTGCAAAAAGATTATAAACTTATAGCAACCAATTTAGGAACGAGTTTATTCTCATCTCTCTCCAATGTCTTTATATATTGTTAAAGTTTATCTATTAAATTTTAAACATTTTGCATATTTGTGCCTTTCAATATTACAAATACATTGCTTTGTAACATTACTGTAGTCTTACATTATAATATTTTTGAAGGCGGACATTTCAACGTTGTCGTAAGCTTGCAGTAACATTGCAGAAATATTTCGCAACTATCACGCAATATTACAATGTTTCTGTAAGATTTCTGCAATGTTACTGCAATCTTTCGGTGCTGTATGGGAATGCAATACAATTTTTACTACCTTTGTAAGTAATACAATCTTTACTTTGTGGCAAAGAGCTGATCTATTGCGACGAGAAACTAACGTTTCTTGTGGTAGTGCCTTCCAAATTAAATCTGTCGTTAGCATTGTATACATTTGTTAATGCATATTTTTCATTACTTAAAAATTTATTAAAGTCTGCTCTAAAGATTTCTTAAGCAGTACTATCTGGTGGAAGTTTTTTTCTACAGATATTCAGTTGTCGGATATCATAACGTGTTTTGAATTTTATTAACCAACCATTGGTAGCTTTAAATGTTGGTTTTCTTTTCAATCTTTCGTTGAATTCTAAAACTTCCTCACGTATCATTCAGATTTATATAAATATAAGTATGCCTTTGTCTCTGTGTCGACGAAACTATTGGAGTACAGCATCGTCTACACTTTTATTTTTTGAATTTGTTAAGCTTTTCCCACTGGTACTAACATTCAAAAAATCTACATGCTGTATATAAATTTTCAATATTACGATTTTGTTTTTTAATGTTACCATGTATTCTTGCAAATTTCGTTGCACTTTTACCACTTTCGAAATCTTTAATTATTTTCTTCTTTGTATTTTGCTTTAATAGTTAGAAATACACGTTTTCGTTTACTTGCCATTGTAATATCGTATTCTGTCCCCTTCATATTAAACTATTATGATTACGATTCAATTGAACAAATACAGGAAAGTATGTACCTATAAATATATTGAATGTAAATATCGCTACAAATCGCTGTTTGGATAGAACGTCCGAATAATAGAATGTTCTGATATTAAACTATTTGGATAATAGAAATTCGGGAGTTTGTACTGTAATCATAAAAAGTATTATACGCACTTTTTCAGTAAATCCGTGTAATGTCTTTAAAGTTTTAGCTTGATTTCTTCCTGTTGGCGATAATGTGAACATCAAATTGACATACAGCCAGGGAGATAGTACTCTGCGTATCGGAATTATATTAAATTTATAGGCATTCTATTGTAACATACTAGAGTCAAAAAAATATCACTTACATTTGAGGATAAACAGAAATAATCATAGCCTTAGAACTGTAGTATCAAGTCCATTTTACAATGTGTGAAATTATATGTATCATATATATACAAAGTGTCTGAAAAATTTTGACACAGCCAAAGTATGAAGATAGATTGAGTCAAACTGATTAAAAAAGTTATTTGCTATTTTGCGAAATTCGCAATAGTTAGTGAAATATAAATTAATAAATGTGAGCCAATGAGCGCGTGGAAAGCGATGGTCCTGACTCTGTACGTGTGCGATTGTCAGTATAAGAAAGATGACTTAAATCATCCAATGTCTTAGAACGAGAGGCGGAGTAAACAAGCGAGCGCAGCGGGTGACTCTGCGGATCTTGCGGTCAGGTCAGAGATGCCAGATTCTGAACACTTGGTAGCATGCGGTAGCATGGAAAAGATGCGCACACAACCTCAGATCGTGTACGTGTGCGCTCGAGACTTCGGGCGCGATCGGGCAGTAGAACGAGACAGAGAAATGACTTTCTGTCTCGCTCTCGCTCGGGCGAGTTGGCGATACGACGTTCAACTCTCAATAACGTCGTAAGCGGCATAAGAAATGTCCGAATTCTCCGGCTCGTTTTTTGACTTTTTTTTATTATAATTAAAAATTGTAGTTATATACATGTATACATAAAATTTATATGTACAAAAAACTGCGTACAAATAAAATAATAAATAAACGTACATATTGGCCAGGAGTGGTAAAGTTATTATTTTAATTGTACGCAGTTTTTCGTACATATAAATTTTATGTATACATACATATAAATACAACTTTTAATTATAATAAAGAAAAGTCAGAGAACAAGCCGGAGAATTTGGACATTTCTTATGCCGCTTACGACGTTATTGAGAGTTGAACGTCGTATCGCCAACTCACCCGAGCGAGAGCGAGACAGAAAGTCATTTCTCTGTTTCTTTCTATTGCCCGATCGCACCCGAAGTCTCGAGCGCACACGTACACGATCTGAGGTTGTGTGCGCATCCCCTCCATGCTACCGCTGCTACCGCATGCTACCAAGTGTTCAGAATCTGGCATCTCTGGGTCAGGTCAGCCGATATTTGGCAGTACATAAGGGAGCGAGAAGTGAGCAGCAGTGATGAAAGATCACTGAACTATAATATAGAACGCGCCTTGCCATTGTGCGAGCTGTCCGCGATAGAGAGCATCACAACTAGGATCTCTGTCTTTGATTCTCCTTCTTACTATTGCACCCCCCTCTACCACACCCCTCTCACTCCAATCTAGCGCTATAAAAAGGGACACCTGATCAAGAGCATCTCAATATCAGGCTGCTCTTTAAACCCTGATGAAGTGAGCTGTAATGTTCACGAAACGTCGGTATAAAAATGACACTAACGCGGTTCAAACCCGAAAAAACATATTTGTATATAAAACAGTTATTTGTACTAAACGTAAAATAGGCTCTGCATCTGCTCAGCACTATCAGCTACCGATTAGATAAGGACAGAAAGGGCTTTTATGCATCTTTCTCTCTCTAAGCCTCTATCGCTTTTTCAGTTCGCTCCCGCACTCTATTTCTTATATCTCTATGGTCAGGACCATTGCTTTCCACGCGCTCATTGACTCACATTTATTAATTTATATTTCATTAACTATTGCGACTTTCGCAAAATGACAAATAACTTTTCTATTCAGTCTGACTCAATCTATCTCTATACTACGGCTGTGTCAAAATTTTTCAGATACCCCGTATATATGTACAGGGTATACAGGGTGTCCGACAATTAGTGTAAAATCTCTCGTAGGCAGGTAGTAGGAGTAAAACTGAGTCGAAAAGACCTGAACCATTTTTTTCTATTACATATAATAAAAGAGTAATTATTGAATAAATCAAGCCTATCAGCGCCGACTTTTAGCCGAACATGTCAGTGAACCACGGGCCTGATGTGCGTGAGCGCTCCGCGCGGCTCACTAGCGTGCGCCCGGCTAAAGGTCGGCGCTGATTGGCTTGATTTATTCAATAATTACTCTTTTATTATATGTAATATAAAAAAGTTGATTCAGGACTTTTCGACTCAGTTTTACTTCTACTCGCCTACGAGAGATTTTTCACTAATTACACAGCCACACAAAAAAAAAAAATTTCTTTGGCCTGGGGATCAGACCATGTTTATTATTTGTTTTTGGGGTCGCTGAATCCGAATCCGAGGTCCATTAAACCCCATCGGGTCGGAGTTCCGCCATAACCTCAAAAAACACCATAATCTGAGCTCGAAACCCATATATAATCTTTTGATTCAAGCCACAAAAACCAATGCTATTGAAAAC